TAGTAAGGTGTAAGGCAATTTCATCTGTGTTGCAGTGAGTTAGCCAGTGTCAGCTTAAGGACCAACATTCCCAACTATGATCTATCAACACAAGGCAGACGGCTGTTCCACACACACACTGGTTAGCTGTAGGTATCCACTAGAATCCACCCCTTTGATGAGGATGCACAACATCTGCATCACTGAGAAGTGGATGAGCATCTCTTCTCCAGTACCCTTCTACTGACCCCTTTAATCAACATCCACACTGCAGTTACGGACAGTAACCTGTAATTCTCTGTACTAAGCTATTCCCTACAAAACTATTTTGAATGCCAGTTTAAAGACAGACAAGTGTCTGAAATCACTCAGAGCAAGAAGAGATAGATAAAACTCACTCAATGAGCAATGAACACATCCCACCATGCTCAGCCTTTTTCCAAGACATGGCACCAATTCCAGAAGGTTTATGACCAGCTGTTTCTCCAGTAAACCAGTGCTGTAAGTTATTAAATGCAATTAATGACAGATTCTCTTGAATGCTCATGAAATCCCACAGCAAAATGAGCCACATACCTGCTTTCAAAAGACGGGCCTCTCAAGAAAATAACAGACGTGCAAAGGTGCAACCACTCAGACTGAGAAATGCAGAGATGTTGCCCATTACCACTAGTAACAAACATCATATATCCAATTAGAAAAAAGCCACGACCAAACTCCCCTTTTTAAGAGTTGTGACATAACTTTCTTCCTAGTAGCCATCAGCAATCCAATTTTACACAGTTTAAAATTGTGAGAAAATTGCTAATGAATAAATCCAGTTTTCAAGCTTCTAAAAATTAGATGTTATTTGAACTAGAAAAAGAGTTCTCCATTGTATTTATATCTCTCAAGTTATGCCTGCTGAAACACAGATAGGAACTGACCTTATGGCTCAAATCAAAGCCAAATTCCACCAATAACCCGATTTGTTCAGTCATTCTCAGCACAGACCCTCAGAGATCAAGAAAGTCCCAGCACTGGACAATACCTCAATTCACACCTGTGGATTAGACCTGTCTGTGTTATCTTAAGTAATATTATCTGTGTTAATAAGAATTCTGCTTTAACAAAGATATTAGCTATAAAAATATATAAGAAATCTGATATTAGATACGGTGATACTAGACATATCTGAAATGTCAGCTAGCTTCTGAATATCAGTTAATTTTAGCAGCCACTTACGTCACCCTCCTCAGATATGGTTTACAGTACCATGCATTCACATCATATTCTTGACTGCATCCTGCCCAGGGCAGAGAGGGACAAGTATTCTTTCATACCTACCAAGGTCCTTCAGTAAAACCTGAGGTAGCATTTTCCTCATTCTAGGACACCTGGTTTACCCAATTCAGTAACTAAGCCACAAATTTGACTTGGGTCCATTAAGCGAAAGGGAATGTAAAATGTCAAGGCCAACACTGTATTTTTAGAGCTTTTGTTTCTCCTGAGGAAGCAGCAAATTCATGTTCCTATTGTTCCTCAGGAACTCCCTCCCCACATTTCAGTCTGCAACCAAGTTCAATTGCATATTTTCAGTCATTAATACATTACTCTCATTTTAACTAAAGCTAATGTATTAATATTACTTCATCAACCAATGCCCAGAATCTCAACCTACTGAAAAACATCTCCAACATACAAGACAGAAGAGGCCTAACAATATTTAATATATTCCAAAGCATCCATTGGGTTGTATGTTGAAAAGAAAACTAGTGAAAGCTACTTGAATCCTACAACGCAAGAAATCTTCCAAATATTAGTACACATATTAGTACAAATATTAGAGACATTAGTACAGATACAGCATCATACTCAGCCCCAATCACCACAGCTCAGTTACAACATAGATGACCTTAACTCCTCCCAGGCTATGGAAAGTTGAAGGCTGCACACACCCACATGAAAGGGAATCTCAAATTAGTACTGAGACCTTGGATTTGCCCTGAATATAAAATTGTGACAGGGACAAATAAGTTTATTGTATAATGTTATTACCAAAAAAAGAGAAAGTTATTTTATTATTAAGCTTTGCTGTACTTAAACCTTTTCAGAACCAAACACAAAGAATGATCAGCTCTCAACTGCTGTGTTTACATACAGTGCTGTCATGGGTTTGAATCTGGTGGGGAGTTTTTTGTAGAAGTGGGGGATGACTCGTGCGAAACTTGGGAAGCCTCCCCACCCCTAGGCAGGAGTCAGACCGGCCAGGGCCAGGCCAGTCAGCACCTCTGCCATCAAGGTATTTAAGAGGTGACCACGTTGTTCTTTTTCTCTCTTTTGGTTTCGTCTTGTTTTGAACTGCCCTGTCTTTAACGTTGGGGAGTTTTTCTGTTGGAAGAGGGGAAGGTGAGAGGAGAACAAAGGAATGTCATCCTGAGAAGAAAGAGGGGAAGAGGGAGAGAAGAGTCCCAGAGGAGAAGGAGAGGCAGAAAGCTGCCAGAGCAGGACCTTTCCCTGAACCCCTGTGATGGCTGAGATGGCAGGAAGGTGACTGCCTGCCAGCTGAGGGAATTGAGGCAGCGAGAACGTCCAGGATGTGTCTGTACGTGCAGAGCCCCATGTGAGAGGGGAGAGAGACTGAGCATCAGTGGAGGACATGCCCAAAGTGATCTGGCGCCCTGAGGGGCTCACGATGAGGAAGAGGATTGCCTCCTGTGAGGTGGACACCACACAGCAGGAAGGAGAGACTGCGAGGGGCCCTCTTTCTCAAGGAGGAGCTGCCATGGACAACGAACAGTGGCCAGATGGATGCATCCCCCAGCTCCCTTGCATTGACAGCGGGGGAGGAGGTAGCTGGAAAGATAGGAGGGAGGGGGGCTGAAGTGCATTTAAGATTGAATTGTATTTATTGATGTACTCCTCTCATTATCCTACTTCATAAATGGTGGTGGTGAATAAAATCTAGGTTTTTCTTCCCAGGTTGCTCTGGTTCTTTACCTGTCATCTTAAATGGTAGATTATTACTCTCCCTATCCTTAATTTCAAACCTCTGGGCCTTTTCAGTTGAATTGTCTCCCTCCACATCACTGCGGAAATGGCAGTGGGTGGAGGAGAGAGCTGAAGACCGCGTGGTTCTTTGTCCCAGTCGGCTTGAACCACAACAAGTGCATAGTCTTCAGGCAGCAAGATTCATAGTACTTAATCTATGGACTACAGCAGGACCATCACCATTATGTCTGCCACTGCAAGCCTGAGCTGCTGTTTCCCAGTGAAAACTCTGCATCTTAACCTATTTTCGCTACGAGTTACGCTAGCTTTATTGGATTATGATTTCACAGCTCAAGAGCTAGTTCAACAAGACAGGGAGCAATACATCACATGATTCTGAATCACTTTTCTTTTTTCCTGACACTGATCTCTCTTCAGGTGCTCTTAAAAGAGGTCAGATTATTGGCTCCAAAAGAAGAACTCACATGAATAAAAAGCTTTAGAGCTTCAACACCTGAAAGCCTAGACTCTCAGACTGCAAATCTTGTGGGGATGAGAGAGGGAGAAGGGATAGTCGTGTCCCTGGTCCTCTTTGCTTGTAGACTCCACATACATTTACACTATTCAGTGGGTTACAAAGAAAGCAAGAAAAAAATGCAACAACAACCAACCAAACCAAAGCCCTTCAGCCTCTAGTTATAATCAAATGGAATTTCCCCCTAGAAGTCACAAGTCTCAGGAATGACATCACATTTCATCAGCATCTCCAGTTCTCAACAACTGAAACACAGGTCAGCTGTCTTCAGAAATACATGATACTCTCCTACATCATCTCAAACTAGAACTTGCACAGATGAGCCATCCACCCCATCTGACTTTTTCAGAACCTCCTCTCTCTTTAGGCTTCCCTAAGCAAGTCCAGAAGGACAGTAGTGGTAATAACATGGAGTGGCAGCAGGCAAGCTCCAGAAGAGAACAGCATCAAAAAGCACTACTGTAGTTAAGCATCACATCTCTTTTGCGTTTTGAAAACAAAGCAAATACTATATATATACAGAAGAGATGAAGTATCCAGAATGAACAGACTGACATCAACTCCTACAGCTTAGTTTTGTTCATTATGATTGAGACACGTGTGCAGAGGAATATTTTTACAGTCCTCAGTGGTTTCACTCTGGTTTATACCACATAGCATTCAAATCTGGCAAAAGATGCATAAAAGGAAACAGAACAGTCACCCACCCACTAAGGAGTCTAAATATAAACAACGGTGTGCATACAGAAATTCTATTTACAGTGATCGAATTCACTCCTATGGCTTTCCAGCAGCATCCAACACGTATCTAAGTCTGCAGAAGTGCTCAGCTGTCACCACCGTGGTCTTAGGGGAGCACTATTACAGCAGAAGAAAGCTGATGGTCAGGGCACAGCTGCCATCTAAGAGGACTATCTGTGAGAATTAGCAGTCATTCTTGCACTTAAGTCTCTTAGAGAAGGGGTTCAGAACAAACAACTGCTTTAACACCTAAGAACAGACACACAGTGTAAGAAGACTACCTTCAAGATAGGCACAATTTTTTCCTAATTAACAGTGTATCAACTTGAGGTTTGTACTTTAGCATTAAGGACATTTCCTCATAACAACTTATTTTCTGGCAGACTCTTTAAGAGAAGACTCATTTCAAACAAGATTTATACCCAGATACATTACCCCAACTTCAACAAACCGCTTCACACACACACACACCCCCCACAGCCACACCACAAAAGAGCCTTTTTACTACACATATCTCCAAGTGCTATCGCACACTTTGAGCACAATTTCTTCTACTTTTTTTAAAAAGGTGGTGGGCAGTAGCCTCTGATCGTAAGGAATTGAGAAGGTACCCACACCGACATAAGGAAAGCATGGCTCAAAGTAATTCTACACAAATACAATTTCCTCTCTGCTTCTTGTAGCAAGGTTCTCTTTGACCCACCGGCCCTTGCACTAGCAGAAAAATCAATCAATCAATCACCACAGACCAATGAGCAGAGAGCAGAAATCTCACCTGATAGTAAGTCTTTATGTTTCTGACTAAGATGGTCAGGTTTTGAACCCGAAGATAGGTGTCATTATTTACATGCTTGTTGACGCGCTGGTTGGTTGGTCGAGGATCTCTGTTAAAGAGGAAAAGAAAATAAAGTATTACTCATGTTCTTGGTGCTAAGATTTAGCACCTCAATAATGTACCATTAGGAAAATCTTTAAAAATTTACCTGTTGGATGTGCTGACATAATTATACAAGATACATACACATTAACTCATGACAGAATGAGCTCATTACCTTTGCACCTATGTTTAAGTTGGAAATCTTCCTGCACACCACAAAGTAACCTACTTTAGGTTAACTCACACAGCAATTTGGGGCAGCTTCTCTCCTTATTTATACTTCCCCCTCAGAAAGTGTATATTTAGTTTGTGCACACTAGATCAAAGCTACCTCTGATAATAAGGGGGTTATCTTATTCAAATAAAGGGAAATATTACCAGGCCTTCCTTAGCTTTGGAGTTTTATGACAAGAGGAGGGTGTTAACACTTGAACAGTGATCACTGTGCAAACTGCAAAACTGAAGTACACATAGACTGAACTGAAGGAAAAAAGGCGCACTGCACTTTTATTATATCCATATCATGTAACTAGATGTCTCTCCTACATGCACTACGTCATAAAAACCAGCTCTTCTGAGCTTCATTATATGAACAAAACATAAACATAGGCAGAGATATAAGCAAGACAGGAAAAAAATTGATGGGAAAATTTTTATGAAGGGAGGCTAAAATTTTTGTTTGCTTTTAAAAGCAGCAAATAAAAATGGTATTTGAAGTAAATATTATTTTTAAAATAAAAATAAAACCACGGAAAAACAAGATGCAAATAATATGAACATGCACCTTCATATTCTCTGCATACATCCTAACATGTTGCAAAAGAAAACAAAAGGAATCTGAAAACCTTTATCTTCCAATAGCATAGATCAAAGCCTTGTGTTTCCTCTCTAATAAAGACTCTTATCAGCAAACTCCTACACAATCCAAACACCTGCCTCCCAGGGCTCTGCTTTCACTGTTAATTAAGCCATTCACAGTTCTTCTAGGGCCAAATATTGAACTCAGGTGTTGACAAGGAAATAAAAGAGGAACTGATCCAATATTTATTTTTAAAATATACCTGTCAAAGTTTACATAAGTATGTCAAAGAGATTTTTTTTTTTTTTTTTTAAATGCACAAGTTCCCAAAGCACCCCTCTAGTAAAAGCAGTGCTGTCAGAATACACAGATATTCCAGAGGCGAAAAAAACTGCCTTGGCAGCAGAAAACATCAGGCACAGTATTTACAAACCACGGTTCACGCAAACTGAAGACGACTAAAACTGCCACTGCTGGCATAAACCAGCAAGACCCTACAGCCTTTACAGGAAATAATTTTGTATACTGATTGCCACTATAAGAAGTTTAAAAAAAAAAAAAAGAAAAACGAGAGATGCAACCATAACAAGCTTTTTAAAGCAAAATGTTTAGTAAGTATTACATTTCACTGATGCTCAGATACAGAAGCCCAGAAGCCATACCCACACACAGTCTGACAGTACAGCTCTTCAGCCACACCACAGGTTGGAGAAGCATAAATGGCACCGGGACTTGAACTCTGAGAGCACCTTGCCTTCAGTACTCCCTGAACAAATGCTGGATCCTGGAAGAAGCTCAGCGCTTAGACTTCTTAGGCAAGGTCACAACAACAAACCAGGACACTAAAAGGAAAGAAAGGTAAAGAGAAGCTGGACATACAAAAGGGTCTGCCTACAGATCTTACTTCCACATGAAAGCTCAGGTGGGCAGCACGCTGCCATGCCGCTGTCTGGCGGTGAGCCTGGTCCACGGCCAGTAAGAGAAAGCTTTGACTGCACAGCGGAGCAAAACACCACAACTCTTCTCAAAACAGGGCAAAAATCCACAAAACACGTGCACTGGCCAAAGAAAGGTGATTTCTTCAGCAGCTGTAGGCAGTGTAACTGGATGAGGGTTTTGACAGTACATAAGACACAGAACAACTCCCGTTCCCAAGGTAAGACTTGTACATCTTTTGGCACAGCGGGGCTGGTCACCTGTTCCAAGAACATAAGCATTGGCAGGACTGGGCCCTCTGAAGAAGTCTGGGAGCTTTTATCCCATCATCTTCATAAAGGGTCATTGGTTGCCCCAAGAATCCTTAATGCCACTGATCCCAAGGTCCTCTTATCCTGGAGCCAGGCTGCCCAGTACCCAGTGCCACTCTGGCAGTCCTGCCTCCTCCTCCTCACAGACAAGGAAGTTGAAAGCTTTTCTGAAAACAGAATGTAGCTCAAGAAAATGACAGTTTGGATTTCTGAATAGGTTATGTAACCAACTCCATCTAGCAACTCAGCTCTCTTCAGAGAGGGCCCTTTGCAGAATACGAGAAAGGCCAGCACAGCCTGTACTTCAAACTACCACAGGCTTATTGTCTCCACAGGGAAAACTAAACTCCTTCTCAACAAGCATTATTCCATTTCGTCTTCATTTTTACCATGTTTTTTCTAAATCCTGGATCAGACTAGCTCAAGTACTAACTACAGCTGCTCTAGCTCCACAGTCGAGAACTTGGAGGAGCTGCAAGAAGTTGTGCTTGGAGGCAGTGGGAGGTTCCCCAAGGAGACAGATTTATTGTTTTCCCTTTACCAGGTGAGCTCAGTTTTATCCAGCTGGCAAAACATATTTTGACTTGATAAGCATGGAGATGAACATTTAAAACAAGCAAGGGCTTGAGGCATACACTTATGCAGAAAGAATATATTTGCTGCTTTTTTCAAACATCATTTGCATCAGACCTCCTGCCTAGAACGCCCGTGCCCCACTACAGGCGGTCAGCTGGATCCCTCCCGCTGCTGTTGCCTCCTCCACATCCCTCACCCAGCTCCCCAGACATCTTGAGGGGTGTGGACGGGTTGGGACGGAGGAGCCAGATGAGGCAGCAATTGGGCCCCTACCCACAAGCTGCCGCCACCCCAGAAGGGGAACAGGGAGCAGCCCGGGGGGGCGGGCAGGCCTTGGTCCAGGGAAACAGGGAAATACCCCGACACCCAGTAGGCCTGAGGTTGCTTTTGCTCCAGGAAGGAGCCAGCTGCTAGAAAACCCATCTCAAGAGGAGGGAAATAAAAAGCCTAAAAACCTAGAGAGATTAAGGTACTCCAAAGACTCCAGCCTGAACAGCCTGATCTACAGCAGGGAAGAACAGGAAGGCAAAGCAGAGTACGCCTCAAAAGAAGAAAAAGCACCTGAGTAAAATTACACCATAAGAGGCAAATTCTGTGTTAAAAGACACTCCTACCCTAAAGAAAACAGAGCTGTTAGTACCATGCTCTGCACATCATAGCACCTGTTTGGTTACCAAAACTAGTTTACAAAGAATTTTACAGAAAGAAACCCTTTCCAAGGAGCATACTGAAAGTTAAAAAGGTATTTTTTGCAACACTAACCAGGTAACCCAAACAAATTCCTGTCTTAGCGTATCTGAAAAATCCCTGAACTTCAGTGAGATGCTTTTTCAGTCCTTAGATATTTTGTCGCTTCCTCTACAATTCCTTTTTTTTAAAAAAAAACAAACACAACCTACTTCTCAAGATCAAAAAGCTATCTAAGTTAGACTGAAGCACCGTGACTTGAGCTGGGACTAAGGGAGGTACTTTGCAAACCAATAAGAAACAGCCAGGCAAGAAAAAACACAAGAGAAGTCTCAAACCTCACTACATATATAAAAATTTTAAAGAAGTTCTCTGGTTTATGCACCCTCATGACCTATACAGGAGCACAGAGGAAAGGAAGGGCCAGGAGTCAGAGGTCAAGTTCAGAAGGTGTGGGGCGAGCAGCACAAATGCTTCAAGATGCAACCCTTTAAGCCACCCAGTACTAAAAGTAACAAAAAAAATAATATTCAAAATTACAGTCCCATTCAAGCAATTCTTACAAATAATTTTGATGAGTAAATGGGAAGCCCACAAGGCAGGTCTGAGGGTTATGAGAAGATAGAAGGAACGGCTAAGCCCAGCATCCCCCAGCACTTCACTCTGCTGGTAACTTGCTAACTGAAAATACACCACTCTTGGACCAGTCTAACTCTCCCATCATCCAACTTCTTCCTCTATCACGGTGGGATGATGCCACTAAGGCTGGCAGGGTTTCTAATTGCCTGAAAAATGGTAGAAAAATGCACCTCTAAATGAGATTTTAAGTTAAACAGATGGATATCTTTAACCTTTCAGTATTCATGCCATTTGCTACAAACCACAAGAAGCGGGCACCCACAACGTGGCTGTTCCTGTCACATGGTCTAAATTAAAGAAAACAGACTGACAGTACTCAAACCACGGCAACTGCAACTGAAATGGAAGAATCTATTATCGTGCATTTTTATTATGCGGTTTTAATACAAGTAGTTTTATCAGCTGCACTACCAATACACGTTCCTGTTTGTTAAATGCTTTAACGGAAAAGCAGAGTCTATGATCCATTAGAATTGGAACAAGTCAGTATGGAAACACTTATGTCCCTACGTGCCTGCACGTGTAAACCTCAAGACCATTTTCCAAATAAAACTTCCCATAAGAAGTTAAACAGGGCAAATATTTGCTTATGCTTGTAGGTATTATGCCACAGCTGCAACTGTAACACTGAAGGCAGTCTATGCAGTGTCGCCACGTGCTCGTTTCATACCAGGAAGTAACAGACAACCATCGGAAAAAAAAAGTTCTTTAAAATTTGTCCACAGAGAAGCTCTCATTAACTTGATACACATAAATCCACCAGAAACACAGAAGCTCAGGACATGGCAGTTCCACTTTGAAGATTAACAAACATTTTTGTAGGCAGAGTGTTCAGCCTGTACCACAAATCGGCAAAAAATCAACATGTCCTTCACGCACAATCAGGCTGAGGTATACACTTGGACAGAACACAGGAAAAGGAAACCACTCATTTACAGAAAAATTACTCAAAAAACCACATTTGTCTCGGTTTAAAATATAAGTGGGGAAGCCTAATGCTGCTGTCTGTCTCTTCCTATTAGATTTAACTAATTAAACAGCTGGGCACCCTACTGAGAA